TTCCTTCCTTCCTTCCTTCCTTCTTTCCTTCCTTCCTTCCTTCCTTCCTTCCTTCCTTCCTTCCTTCCTTCCTTCCTTCCTATCTTCTTCCCTTCCCTTCCCTTCCTTTATTCTTTCCTTCCCTTCCCTCTTTCCTTCCTTCCTTCCATTCCTTCCTATCTTCTTCCCTTCCCTTTTTCCTTCCTTCTTTCCTTCCTTCCTCCACCTCCTCCTTTCCTTTCCCTTTCCCCTTCATCCATCCATCTTTCCTTCCTTCCTTCCTTTTCTCCCTCCCTCCCTGCTTTTTCCAGTTCTATAGGAAAGGGTAAAAGGGGCTTTTACATCTCTCCGTCTGTTTCCTATGAGTAATCCTGTCTGCTTTTGCTCTACTTCTCCCCTGCAGGAGCAGCTGTCTGCGAGTGGGCTGGATGCTTCCCTGACACACGACTCACTGGTGACTCTTTCGGAGGTGGGTGGGATGCCACGCGTGTTGCGGTACGACGCCAGCTGGCTGGTATTTAACCTGGGACAGCTGGAGGAAATTATATTCAGCCACGTGGACCCAGGATCCGAGTCTGCCGACTTTAAACTTTAAAGTGTCCGGCATTCCGGGGGCAAATGCGTCTCCTGTCCAAATTCCTGCAGTCAAATCGGATGCTGAGAGAGAGGGAGAGAGGCAATAATTGGATGGAAATACTAAAACAAAACGAATCAAAATAAAAAAAGCCAAACGGAACGCAAAGGTTTTCCGTTTGTAACGGAAAGCAGCCCAGGCAGTGCTCAACTTAACCACCATAATTGGGATCAGAATTTCTGTGGCTGAGCAAGGCGAGCCTTGAGCGAGCCAGCCTGATCTTACTACAGGTGGTCCTCAACTTAACGACCGCTACGGAGACCCAAAACTGACGTTGCTAAGTGGGAAATTAGTTAAGGTTAGAGTTTTGCCCCATTTTACGGCTTTCCTCGCCGCGTTTGTGAAGGAAATCGCTGCATTCGTGAGATGAGAGGAGATGAGATAACCTTTATTGTCATTTTTTTCCCTGCGGGCACAACGACACACATTAAAAACAAAATTAGACACACAGGTTGTGAAGGGAATCTGGCTCCCCCCCCCCATTGGCTTTGCTTGTCAGGAGGTGGCCAAAGGGGGATCACGTGACTGCCCCCCGGGGACACGGCGACCGTCGTAAATGTGAGTCAGTTGCCAAGCGTTCGAATTTGGATCACGTGACCCTGGGTGATGCCGCAACGGTCGTCAGTAGGAAACATGGTCGCGAGTCGCTTTTTTCAGTGCCGTTGTAACTTCGGACGGTCGCTAAATGAACTGTTGTAAGTCAAGGACTACCTACACGGCTTTTACTCATAGGTGTTAAGCCAATTCACTCTTCCCACTGATACGCATGTTGGAAACTCTGGGCTGGTTAGGATGCTGCGACCCTCATAAATACGCATGTTGCCGGGCACTCCCAATTTTGATCACGTGACAGCGGAGATCTTGGAACAGTCGTAAGTGTGAGGACTGATTGTAGCTTTTTCCAGTGCCGTTCTGACTTGGAACAGTCACTAAATAAAGGGTTGTGAGGACTACCTGTAGACTACCTGGGATTTGAAGTCCACAAGTCTTAAAAATTGCCAGGTTTGAAGGCCCCTGGATTAGGGGGTTAGCCCATTTGTTTTACTAAATATACTTGATATTGTACATTGCCCAGAGCCACTCTCTGGGGTAGATGGACAGTTAAGAAATGTGAAGTATAAATGAAATGAAATGAAATAAAATGCAGGTAATCCTCGACTTACAACAGGACATTTAGTGACCATCATTGAAAAAAGTGACGTATAACCATTTTTCACACTTATGACGGTTGCGGCATCTCCATGGGACGCGTGATCCAAATTCAGAGGCTTGGCAACTGACTCACATTTATGACTGTCGCAGCGTCCTGGGATCATGTGATCCCCTTGTGCGACCTTCTGACAAAGAAAGTCAATGGGAAAACCATTAACCAGTGGAACTCCTTGCCTCCAGAAGCGGTGACTGCTCCAACACTGGAAGTTTTAAAGAAGAGACCGGACAGCCATCTGTCCGAAATGGTATAGGGTTTCCTGCCTGAGCAGGGGGTTGGACTAGATGACCTCCAAGGTCCCTTCCAACTCTGTTATTCCCTTCTAACTATGACACTAGCTTAACAACTGCAGTGATTCCCTTAACAACTGTAGCAAGAAAGGTCGTAAAATGGGGCAAAATTCACTTAACAAACGTTTCACTTAGCCACAGAAATGTTGGGCTCAATCTTAAGTTGAGGACTACCTGTAAAATGATAAAATAAGATAAAATGAAATGAAATAAAAAATAATAATAATAATAAAATAATTATTTCCACAGAAACTGGCAGATTTGAAGAAGCAGGCAATTCCTTTAAAGAAGAAACTGGAGTCTTATCTGGATCTCACACCGGTAATTTCCTTCCTTCCTTCCTTCCCTCCCTCCCTCCCTCCCTCCCTACCCTTCCCAGTTGTCTTCCTTCCTTCTCCTTCCTCCTTCACTCCTTTATCTTCCTTCCTCCCTCCTTCCCTTCCCCTTCCCTATTCTTTCTTCCTTCCTCCATCCCTTCCTTCCTCCCTCCTTCCCCTTCCCTGTTGTCTTCCTTCCTTCCTCCATCGCTCCTTCTTCCTCCCTCCTTCCTCCCTCCTTCCCTTCCCCGTTGTCTTCCTTCCTTCCTTCCTTCCTTCCTTCCTTCCTTCCTTCCTTCCTTCCTTCCTTCCTTCCTTCCTTCCTTCCTTCCTCGTTCCCCTTCTTCCCCAGCTTGTCCTTCGTAGACAGGTGTGCTGCACCCATTTTATGGTCACTACAAAGTGAGGCTAGAAAGGAAAGGAGATGAGGATGGACTAAGGGGAACTGGGTTCAAGGAGAGTGGGGAATACAGAAGCAGAAAAAGGAGGGATGGCAGCATTTTTAGTGGGAAAGGTATGGCCCTATTACGAGTCCTGGCACAGCACAGCTGCCTGGGGAATTCTGGGAGTTGAAGTCCACTCATCTTAAAGTGACCAACGTTGAGAAACAGTGAACTAGAGTGTTGGGTACTTAAGCCATGCAGGGAAGCTCTCTCTTTGAATTTTTGGAGGGACATCCTAACTATGGTGTGTTGGTGGTTGCAGCGTCTGGAGGGAATCCTGGGTGTGTCTTTACAACTGTGTCTTCCTGTTCTTTCCAGAATCCTTCCCTTGCTCGAGTGAAGATTGAAGAAGCCAAGAGGGAGCTGGTAGGTCTTTCCCTTAGCATTAGAATAGAACTGAAGGGGACCTTGGAGGTCTTCTAGGCAACTTCTGCCCCACTAGTTAATTGTCCTCCCTGTTATGAAGTTTCTCCTTAATTCCAGGTTGCTTCTCTCTTTGGTCAGTTTCCAACCATTGTTTCTCGTCCTGCTCTCTGGTGCTTTGGAAAATAAGTTGACCCACTCCTCTTTGTGGCAGCCCCTCAAATACTGGAATATTGCTATCATGTCTCCCCTATTTCTTCTTTTCTTTAGACTAGCCAAACCCAAGTCCCGCAGCCATTCTTCATATGTTTAGTTTCAATTACAATTTTAAGTTGAGGACTACCAATATAAAATCAAGAACACCAAAGTCCACCCGTAGGAATTCCATCAAATTGTTCCCCTGCTCCTCATGGGAGATTCTCCTCAAGCAGATTCTCCAACTGAATTAATAGGGGGGAAATAAAAACGTACTAATTTAAAGTCGATAAAAGAGAATATTATTGGAAGAAGGGAAAATCAAGGAAAGGTATTATGTGGAATATGGAACTATAGAAATTAACTAACTGGTGCTTTAGAGAATATTAACCTGAACTGAATCTCAGGGCTAACATGGATGCTAATTTCAGTTTAGCAGAAGGACACGCAGGAGAAGGACAAGGCTACTGCATTGAAGGAGTCGGGCATCTTTTGTCCAAAGCAGTACAGGTAGTCCTCAACTTAACAACAACCCATTTAAGGACCGTTCCAAGCTACAACGGCACTGAGAAAATGGGATGTGACTATTTTTCACACTTATAACTCTTTGCAGCCATCCCGGTTGGTCAGGTGATCAAAATTCAGACGCTCGGCAACTGACTTGTATTCACGACGGTCGCAGCGTCTGGGGTGTAAGTGATCCCCTTTGGCAAACTTCTGACAAGCCAAGTCCACAGGGGGCTGCGTCACTAACTTAACAACTGCCATGAATTCACTTTAACTGTGGCAAGAAAGAGGATAAAATGGGGCAAAACTCATTTAACAACAACTCTCTCGCTAATAATAATAATAATAATAATAATAATAATATTAAAAGTTGGAAGAGACCTTGGAGGTCATCTAGTCCAACCCCCTGCTCAGGCAGGAAACCCTATAGCATTTCAGACAAATGGCTGTCCAGCCTCTTCTTAAAAACTTCCAGTGTTGGAGCATTCACAGCTTCTGGTGGCAGATTGTTCCACTGGTTAATTGTTCTCACTGTCAGGAAGTTTCTCCTTAGTTCTAGGTTGCTTCTCTCCTGGATGAGTTTCCATCCGTTGCTTCTTGTCCTGCCTTCAGGCACCTTGGAGAATAGCTTGACTCCCTCTTCTTTGGGGCAGCCCCTGAGATATTGGAAGAGTTGCTATCATGTCCCCCCTCGTCCTTCTCTTCATTAGACTAGACATCCCCAATTCCAGCAACCGTTCTTCATATGTTTTAGCCTCCAGTCCCCTGATCATCTTTGTTGCTCTTCTCTGCACTCTTTCCAGAGTCTCAACATCTTGTTTGCATCGTGGTGACCAAAACTGGATGCAGTGTTCCAAGTGTGGCCTGACCAAATTACAGAAATTCGGGCCTCCGTTATGGCTGTTAATTCTCTCTTTTGCCAGAGATTTTTTTTCCCTTTCGTGCGAATAACCTTATGGATGCTGTTTTCCCCTTTACAGGAAAAACTGGAGGCCGAGTTTTCGAGGAAATTGGACATGACTGCACTTTCAGTAACTTTACCTACCAAGCGAGCATTTGTGTAACCATTCTGGGGCAACAATTGTGGGTGCCGTCAATGTTGGTTTCTCTATTCCCTGAACAGAACAGAACCGTATTGTATATAAATTCATTTTTCTCCCCTCCCCAGGACTATGTTATAGTAGTCAGTCTTTCTGAATAAAAACTTTAACATAAGCATTTGTACAAGCAATTGGGTCAGGCCATTGCCCCGTTGTATGCCTGTGAAATGTTATTGTATCTAACTCTTCGTAGCAGGATGACTGTTAAGTATCTCATTCTTGACAATAAAGTGTTATTTATTTATAAAATTTATTAGTCGCCCTCGATAAAACTGCATAAAACCTAAGGATATCAATACAATACCATGAGGAGTCAACCTTAGCTAAAAAGAATTATTAGATTATTAGAATTAATTATTCTGTTAATAGAATTAATCATTAAAAAAAAAAAGTATTGAAGGGAGGGGAATAGTTTGGAAAAAGTCCAGAATAGACTATCTTCCATGGTAACTTTGGGTGGCTTACAATATTTAAAAAAAGGTATAAAACCTTTTTATCAGGGGTCTTCAACTTGGCCCTTTGATGACTGGTGGACTTCAACTCCCAGAATTCCTCAGCCAGGCAGTGCCTGGCTGAGGAATTCTGGGAGTTGAAGTCCACCAGTCATCAAAGGGCCAAGTTGGAAGATCCCTACTTCTTATGAGATAAATACAATGCTGTAAAAATCAACCTAGCTAAAAAGGATTATTAAAATTAGAATTATTAATAGAATTAATCATACTGACAATGTTGGAGGGAGGGGGAATTGTCTGGAAAAGCCTAGAGCAGGGGTCTTCAAACTTGGCCCTTTTATGACTTGTGGACTTCAACTCCCAGAATTCCTCAGCCAGCGGGCCTGGGACGTCGACTGGTCCTAGGGGCCTGGGAATTGTAGTGCTGACACATCGACTGGTCCTAGGTGTGTGGGAATTGTAGTGCTGCCACGTCGACTGGTCCTAGGCGCCTGGGAATTGTAGTGCTGCCACTTCGACTGGCCCTAGGCGCCTGGGAATTGTAGTGCTGCCACGTCAACTGGTTCTAGGCACATAGGAATTCTAATGCTGCCACTTCGACTGGTCCTAGGTGCATGGGAATTGTAGTGCTGCTATGTCGACAGGTCCTAGGCACATATAAATTGTAATGCTGCCACTTCGACTGGTCCTAGGTGCCTGGGAATTGTAGTGCTGCCATGTCGACTGGTCCTAGGCGCCTGGGAATTGTAGTGCTGCCATGTCGACAGGTCCTAGGCACATAGGAATTGTAATGCTGCCACTTTGACTGGTCCTAGGCGCCTGGGAATTGCAGTGCTGCCATGTTGACTGGTCCTAGGCGCCTGGGAATTGTAATTGTTAGAAGTAAGTCTTCATCCTGGTTCATCCAAGCCGGGAATAAATAAGCAAACATGGCGACTGCTTTGGGAAGAAGGTTACAGTTTATTGTAGAAGAAAGATGGTCCTTGCAAGAAGGAGCAGAGGAGAAGAAAGAGCAAGAGCACATGGGTAGAAGGGCTTTTATACCCCCCCTCCAGCCCTGCTTGGAGTAGTTTTCTGTTCCTGTGGCATGAACTTTGAGGCTATTTCTGAGTGTTTTTCTAGGCCCTGATATCTGTGGTTTAATCCCATTATCATATCCTGCTTCCCAGGTGATGGGGCTAATGACTCTTAAGAGCTTCTTTTGTCTTGAGATCCCTGGCTCCAAAGTTCCTGATGGTTCCACATCTGCATATGTATAAGACTAGCTACTGCCCTGGGCAAAGAGATGAGGCCAGGTTTGGTTTCTGCTTTTCAAAAAAATGCTTTTTAAAAATCCTTTTGGTGAACAACATCTTTCTTTCTGCCTTTTTAATATTTCCTTCTCTGGGCTAACTTCCCACATAGTGCTGCCAGTAGACTGGTCCCAAGCAATAGGAAGAGCACATTAGAGCTGACCAGTATCCTATATTGGCCCCGTCTGCAAGATTATTTCTCTCCATCCAGTGGTTTACTCCCTTTTTGTATTTTTCCGCAAAGGGATCCCAGGCTAATAGCCTTGTTCACACAACTCCTTAATCCGGGTCAAGCAAAGAAACAACAACAACAACCAAACAGCTGGGTCACCGTTAACTCCGCCCGCTTCCTTTCTTCCCTAACGCGCAGGCGCAGTCGCGCCGCGAACCGTTGGAAGCCGAGCTCTGGCGCCCCCCTCGTTTTCCCGCCCGATTGCCTTCCCCGCCCTTGCAGGAGCGGCCGGGAGCCGCCAGGGGGCGCGCGCTCCGCCTCGCGCGCTCCGCCGTTCTTCCCGCCCGCCCGCGCGCCCGCTTCCTCCCTGGCGCACTTCCTCCGTCGGGTAGCGCCGCTGTTGCTGCCGGAAGTGACGTCCGGAAGGCTCGAGCTGAGGCGATCCCAGCGGCCTCCCTTCTGAGGTGACATTTTTTTCCACCACCCCCCCCTCACCACCACCTTCCTCCGGCTCCTTCTTTTCGGTCCCTCCTGCCCGGGCCGAGGAAGCGGCGCCGGCCACGCCGGGGGAGGAGAGAGGAGGAGGAGGAGGAGCCCCGGCCCCTCATGCTCCAGCTGGCCCTTCCCGCGGGGCCTCAGGCCGGGGAGAGCCTCAGAGGCCGCGGCGGCGGCAACGGCGACTCTGGTGAGTGCCTCCTCTCCCCTTCTCGATCGTTGAAACCTCCCGGAGCAGCTCGGCCTACGAAGGCTGACCCCCCCCTCCGTCCAGGGCCCCCCAAAACCTCCGGCTATCCCGGTCTCCGGCTATCCCGGGGGGGGTCTTCCCTTCGGTCGCCTCGCTCGGCCCCCCCATGCTGAAAGAGACCCCCCCACGACCCCCCCGGTCTTCCTCTTCCTGTCTTCTCCCTCCCTCAAGGCTCCCGATTCGGGTCGCCCCGTCTTAGGCCTCAGGAGCCATTCAGGCAGCGCGTTGGGCCGGCCGGAAAACGGTGGGGGGGGAGGAGGAGGGGGATAAGGGCACAAACCATGGTTAGCTTAAGAATGGGTGAGCGTGTGGTGCGAATGAGTCACGGGAAGGGCGGCGTCGCCGGGTCTGCTCGCGACGGAAGGGCCGTCTGTGGTCCGGTTAGGGCCACGGGGGGGGGGTCTTCATTCAAACTTGGCCCTTGGAGGACTGGTGGACTCCAACTCCCAGAATTCCTCAGCCAGCTATGCTGGCTGAGGAATTCTGGGAGTTGGAGTCCACCAGTCCTCCAAGGGCCAAGTTTGAATGAAGACCCCCCTGCCCTATGCTGGCTGAGGAATTCTGGGAGTTGGAGTCCACCAGTCCTCCAAGGGCCAAGTTTGAAGACCCCTGAGCTAGAACATAAACAGTTGGAAGGGACACCTTGAAGGTCATCTAGCCCAACCCGCTGCATAAAGCAGGAGGGTCTATACCAGGGGTCTTCAAACTTGGCCCTTTGATGACTGGTGGGCTTTAACTCCCAGAATTCCCCAGCCACCATGGCTGGCTGAGGAATTTCAGGAATTGAAGTCCACCAGTCATAAAAGGGCCAGGTTTGAAGACCCCTGAGCTAGACCATAAAAGAGTTGGAAGGGTCATCTAGCCCAACCCCCTGCACAAAGCAAGAGGGTCTATACCAGGGGTCTTCAAACTTGGCCCTTTGATGACTGGTGGACTTCAACTCCGGGCAGACACAGAATTTTTGTGAAAAGAAGGTTGCGACTTTCAACCTTTCTCCCTATGGGCTCAGTCATGCTGCAAAGTGATTACGCCAAAGTCGTTGGAAAAAAGAATCTTCCATAAGAAAAGTCTTGCTTGAACTGCGCTCAGTGCTTTAGATTTGAAGTCCAGTGTAGATTTTTTAAAATTTTTCATTCTCTTTTCTTTTTAGTCTGCCAGAAAAGCACCACCGGTTATGGGAGCCCGCTGTGTTGGGCCCGTGGGGGAGGATGCCAGGTGAGGGACCTATCTAGAAAAGACAGGCAGTTACTTCCAGCTGCTACAGCCAGGCAGGGTGATGTTAGGCAGACACATAATTTCTGTGAAAATAAGAGACTTTCAACCTTTCTCCCTATGGGCTCAGTCAGGCTGCTAAGGGATTACGCCAAACTCGTTGGAAAAAAGAATCTTCCCTAAGAAAAGTCTTGCTTGAGCTGCGCTCGGTTGTTTTAAAACCTTAATCTTGCTCATCCTCGTTACGCAGTAAGCAACTGAGCAAGCAAACAAACGCTTACGTTTATTTGCTCCCAAATACAACAGCATCAGATTCCTCTGACTGAAGCCTATATTGCAGGGGTCTTCAAACTTGGCCCTTTTAGGACTTCTGGACTTCAACTCCCACAATTCCCCAGCCAGCCATGCTTTGTCCCCAACCTGCTCTTTCTACCTTGTGGCATCACGTAATGTAGGGGTCTTCAAGCTTGGCCCTTTTATGACTTGTGGACTTCAACTCCCAGAATTCCTCAGCCAGGCACGCTGGCTGAGGAATTCTGGGAGTTGAAGTCCACAAGTCATAAAAGGGCCAGGTTTGAAGACCCCTGTGTTAGGTCTTTATAGGTACCAGCATTAGCTAGCCCCTTGAATTGTTCCTGGAAACTTATTAGCAATCAATGCAGCTCATAAAATGTGTTTCATGGGCACAGCTAGGCTTTGCCTGTTGCTTCATTCTGGGCCAGTTGTGGCTTTTGAATGATCTTCAGGAGCAGTGTAGACCCCACTGCAGTGGTTCTCTCATAAAGTGGTCGAAGCATGAGTAGCTGCAAGGAAGGTCTCACAGTCCAGGCATTGGTGCACAAGTGGGGTTTGTGTAATAGCTTTCCTGGGCCACCAGCTGTTCACAAATACTTCTCCTCAAGCAGGTGCTAAGAGTTTAGGAAGACTAGCAGATTGCCCATTAGACCTTAAAGGGAAATACAGCCCATTTAAGGATGAAGATCCCCCAAACCCAAGAGTTGGAAGCAGCCATAGCCACTCAATCTTCCAAGGTTTGAGTTTGAACCTGTGTTTCCCTACTCAGACTTCAACAGCCCCCAAACGGTGAGGCATGTCCTTCACGTACTGATCTTTGACTCCAAACTGAAAAATTACTCCCCCGAGGGGCTCTGTGTAGGTATTAAACAGGAGGGGTGAGAATGTTGACCCCTGTAGCACTTGACATGGCAAGGATTTCAGACCCAGCAGTAACTTGAATCAGCCACAGTTATTCCTATCAGTCCTATTTCCCCACAGCTGGTCCAGAATAATACTGCCCCACTCCCAGAATTCCCCAGCCAGCATGGGAATTCTGGGAGTTGAAATCCACAGGTCTTAAAGTT